CTCTTTTTAGGAGTAGAGATGAAAAGCAGCAGGAGGCCGTGTCGGCCGGCCCATCGTCACAGCACAAAAAGGTCCAAAAGTTTTGGTGGTGAACGCGTACGATCCACACGTCGGATCCTTCGTGACCGTCCGAAGTGAAAGTGACCATGCGCTCCATCTCTCCCCAAGTCCTCCACGCTTTTGACCTCAATGAATTATAATTACTCTCCCGTCTCCTCACCACGCTTTTGTCGCTTTGTCAAAGCTTCACTTTGTATCCCGGTTTCATGTCGCATCTACATATGCTTTCTAGATAAATTCAAGTGGTTTTGGTCCAGGACAAAGGCCGATCGTGTTATTACGCACGCCTAACTACAACTCTAACTATGAATTTATCTTATTTTTCTCAGTTTTTTTACTCTGCCCCCACTCTTTAAAACGAAGGGTTTTTCCCATTATACTTAGCATTATTATGCATAGCATAACGGGATAAATACCAAAAAAACTCTATCCTCAGCTCTGCTCATCTCTGTTATCCACAAGCACTATACGCCAAAGAATTCATGGCGCGGTAGACAAGTTCTGCGGAAAGAAAGAAAAGATAGGAAGAAGGAAGGAGGCTCACGGGTGTGTCAAGCGGGTGATTGGGTGAAAAACGACAAGGGTTGATAGTATTATCTTCTTAAACTTTTTAATCATTTTTTTTTGCTCTTCTGACATTGTTTAATCTTGACGACTCTACGGAATGAAACGAAGGCCAAACAAAGATACTAATTTTGACCCCCAAAAACTAGGGGGCAAAATCATATAAAAATTGAACAAAATTAGCAAAACCAGCCGAAAAGTGAGTATTAAAAATTCAATTAATTGCCAAAAAGTGAGAGCAGAGATAGCGCACAAACATCCCCGGCGTACGAAATTCCAGTGCAAAAATCACGTGGATTGAATTGAACTCCTTCACGGACAGGTACTTGTGCGGTTGCCAGTACTCCACCCAACAATGATTTGACTGGTCCTATCTGATCCTGGATTCAAATGCTCATCAAATCCACATCACGCCAACCGCCAACCTCCTACCCCCTGCAACCGCACTGCTGAACCACTGCTCTCCAACTACCCCGATCCTCTCTTCAGCCTCTGCGGGACCCACCGCCGTACGATCAACATCAAATGGTAATGTTATTACGCCAGTCATGTGCTTAGCTGCTTATTAGGCCTGGTGCCAGCTCGGTTGGTGATCAAACAACACTGCTCGCTCCCTCCGGCCCAAAATATAATTCATCTAGGGTCTCGTTTTCTCTTCCTGCAAAAAAAAGACCAAAAAATAAGCACCAAAATAAATATAATTCATCTAGGGTTTAGATTACCGATTAAAAAATAATTGATCTATATTGTTAAAACATTTGTTGTGATTGAGAAAAAAAGGATGAAAAAAAAAAAAAGGCTAAAAAAATTGAAAAGTATAGATTATAAGAGAAGCGAACATGGCCTAGGATGGAATGGTATAAGACTATAATTTAAGTTTTTTTAGGTTTACTCATCTCTATACCTAAAAAATACGCAGAGGTATCGTTGTACCGCCTTGCTCGTCGCCCCGCCCTGCTCAGCTGGTCCTAGATTTTTTTTGACTCGCTCCTCCAAATCAGAATCGGATATCAAATCAAATCAAATCGTTCTAAATCTTAACCGGGAAAAAGAAAATGTCAAACCAAATCAAATGAAATCGAGAAAAAAAAATACAAGTTAAAAATATGCTGGGTATCATCATACCGCCCACCGCCCTGTCCTGCTTAGCTCGCCCTCGGATTTTTTGTCTCGCTTCTCCAAATCAAAATCGGATATCAAACCAAATCAAATAAAATCAAATCGTTCTAAATCCGAATCGGAAAAAAGAAAATATCAAACCAAATCAAATGAAATCGGAAAAAATATACAAGTCAGCGGCGGTGCTTGGCAGTGCCGAGGAGGATGAGGTCTCCACCTGATGCGAACAACGGCCTGTTGCTGCAGCTGAACTCGAACTCGACCTCGCGTCACCTGCACGAGGGCTCGTGGACCGCCAGGCTCGGGTCCAGCGATGCTGTGAAAATAATAAGAGCAGGTCAATAACACTCCAATTCGATTGTCAGCCATATGCAAGGCAAGCAAAAGAGGATAGATAAAGCTATGCTTGGTGCTGGTTTCGTCCGCCAGCTCATCACGCATGCAAGACACTTTCTCTGCACTGAGGTTAACTCTTCCCTTCCTATCCTTGCATATTGAATGAAAAACAATATTTAGACTATAGATATAGACTAATTGTTGTGCGTGTTAGACTCTAAACTTGTTTATTGATGATTTGGCTTGGCTTATAGACAAAATTTATTGGGCTTGCTCTAAAACCCGCTCTCGCACATGACCCGATCTGGTCCAAACTCGAGACATGTGGGGCAAAAGAAAATACACTCTTATAGGACTGAGAGAACCCCGTGCAGGACTTAGCAGACAATTGTGCCTTGTCGTTATCAGTGTGAAGCGGAACTATTTCTATGTGGTTGGAGGAAGGTGGAGACAACTTTTTATTTCTATATAATTTGATTTATAGATTTCTTAATATGTTTATCTAAGCCATAACTCACATGTGTCGATATAGTTGTACGTAAAAATCCGTGATCCCGTGCAACACACGGGCATCTATCTAGTGAATACATAAAATCTTTATATTGATAGATAATATAGGACTGATATGATGAAATATATTAAGAAACACAATACCATAACATATATAGTTTTCATTTATAAGATGATATTCCTTTACAAATATTGATAACCAACTGCTCAAATTGCAAACCATGTCGATCTCCGGATGGAGTTATAGTCTTGACCGAAAGTGTTATTTGTTACCTCCTCTAGCCACAGGTAAACATATACTACTCCATAAACGGAAAGGCATCTGCACTTGTCTATACCAACCTAGGCGAACTACATCCTAAAATATATAGCGTATAGAAATATTAAAAAATTGTAACCAAATATAAGAGATTTTGGTGCATAATAAATAGTAAAATAGTACACTGTTGTTATTTGCCATTTATTAAGCAGTACCTGTTTAACCACACGGATGATGGTCTATATACGTATAGAAAAAATGAATAAGGTATACACAGTCTTTGTATTTTCTTTTACCCAAATGCTTCTTTATGAGCGCGCGCTCGCGTCGTGCTGCATGCACACATTCTCAGGGAGTCCGATGTTCTCCGACTTTGGGGTTTGGGCCGTCCGATGCGCGGGTGAGTGGGAGAACGGTGGAAATAACTCACCTGTTGCCATTGTCGCTGGAGAAGAAGAAGGCCGAGACGTTAGGGTTTGGGTTTGGGTTTTCGGGGATTTCCATGTTCTCCGGGCTTAGGAGGAAGTTTCTGGGGAGGATGACCAGATCATCTGTGGTGGTGGTGGTCGAGACGGTAGCAAAGGAGCGGTGGTGGAGCGGCTTCACGGGTTTGTTGGGGCTGATCTTGGCGTGGGTGGGGGTGACGATTGGAGAGAAGAAAAAAGATCTTTGAGATTAGTGTGTGGCGGCCGAGCCCTGGGGGTGTGTGGCGGTGGCGCCATGGCAAATCAAACCATAGGATTGAGGTTAGCATGGTGGCAGTGGAGGGTGGTGGCAGAGGCGGCATCACGCCACCAGAGCCTAGGAGGGGGTCGAGGCGGGGGCGCTCGCGCTAGATCTGAAGCATAGGTATGATGTTAGCGTGGTGGTGGTGGAGTGTGGCGGCGTGCCGCCGGAGCCAGGCGGGGTGAGGAGGCCAGGAGGGGATGGGAGTGCGACAGAAAAAAGATGACGTATGCTGGAGGAAGGAGGTGAGTGGGTAGCGTTCGGTCTGTTTGCTGGTTGGTTTCTGGGCTGATAAAGCCGGCTAATACTGATTTGTTGTGAGAGAAAAACACTGTTGGCTGGTTGATAAGTCCTAACTAAAACCAACAAGCGAACATGCTGGTTATCTGCACTGCACACGCGGACGGTAATAAAGTCCTTTCTTTTAATCTATCTTAGAAGATGTAGTACGAGTAGACACTATTTTAGGATGGAGCAAGCAGTCTATCAAATGAATTCGAAGAATATACAAGTCAGCTACGAATGCTTCGTAAAGCAACAGGTCGAGTTATTTTGGAAGTCGGAAACGATGCAAAATCGAGGAGGAAATCTTTGCATTTGACCTGAGAAGCAGACAGAAAATCTTTGGCCACGTTTAGTTTGGTGTCCGATTCGGCGCCGCCAAATTCAGGGAGGCACTGTAGCTACAGTACTTTTTTGTTTTTATTTGGTAATAATTGTTCAAACATTGACTAATTAGCCTCAAAACGTTCGTCTCGTAAAGTACAACCAAACTGTGCAATTAGTTTTTGATTTCGTCAACATTTAGTACTCCATGCATCTACCGCAAGTTTGATGTGACGAGGAATCTTCTTTTTGCATAGTGCCAAAATTGAGAATTTGATGGAACTAAACAGGGCTTTGCATGGAGTCACATGGACGGCTGCAACTCCATACTTACCCAAACCAACCAACTAACGCTCGCCATTTGGAAACCACGGACGGAGGCTCCTACGACTACGACCTCCCCGGCCACGAAAACGATTCGCATGTCGTGGTCGTGGCCGATACCGGCACGCCACCTGACACCGGCCGCAGCGTCCCGGGCCCCACGGCACAGTGACTCCATGCCCGTACGCGCCTCCACGTCTCGGACCCAATAGCTGTCCGCCACGTGCGCCCCCGCCCCGCCACCACGTACCAGGTCACGTGCCCCCGCCCGCCACCTCGCAGCGTCATCAAAAAGATCTGCGCGGCGCGGCGCTCCTGCCTGCGCCCGAGGAACGAACGACACCGGGCAGGCGGGCACACGAGCGCGGGCGGGCACGCACGAGTTCGCGAGTCCTCTCCTCCCCCCGCGTGCGCGTCGTTGGAACCAAGGATTGGATTAGCCTCGCCGAGGCGGAGGGGGAGGGAGAAGCTGGTGGTCGGCGAGGGGCTTGCGGGGATGGGGATCTCGAGGCCCCTTGTGGCGCTGGTCCTGGCGCTTCTGATCGCCGGCGCCGGTGCGACCGCCGAGGAGCCGGTGGTGGCCGCGGACTCAGTGGCCGGCGCGGTGGAGGCCGCGGCGGCGCTCAGGGCGGAGGAGGCTGCGGAGGCCGCGGCGCTCAGGGCCGAGCTGGGCCAGCTCCGCGCGAAGATCGCCGCCTTAGGTCAGTGCCCAAGCCTCGAATCCACGGGGCGCGCTTGATTTTGCTCTCGGGATGTTTTGGGTTGGGGCGGGTGGTGGTAGAATCGTCGATTTTATGCCTCGCGGCTAGGTTAATTCGTGCTGTTTCACTGGATTGACGCCGCTCCGTTGAGCTCCGAAGTTTAGGGCCCAATTCAATTTCGCGGTGGTTGGTGAGCTACCCGGATCTGTTTGGTGGGGGGTTTAGCGTCTGCCTTTGCTCGATTGATCGAGGAGCTCGGGGTGCTGCGAGATTTTATTGATTCCCTTCGTGCTGATTTCGACCATGGGATGAATGCAAAATTGGATAATTCTCTCTTTTTGGTACAAAACTGGATAATTCTCTCTTTTTCAGGAAACTGCTCATTTTAGGGAAAAATGCCCAGCTCCTTCTGTTGTTTATACACCGTTACCACATAGTACTTCTACTAGCTTTTTTTTTTCTGGCTGCCGTTTTACTTTACTTTATTTATTTTGTTTACACAAAAGTTCCCATTTACTACTACTGTTACCTTTACGACAGTGGGCGGTGGGCCAGTGTGTAATTGCAGCTCTTGTGCTTTTGCCTTGGATCAGTTGGATGGTGAACCACTGCCATAATAATTTTTGGGGCCTGCTTCATTGACGTGTACTGAAAATTCCAACCAAATACACTTCACACAGACCATACAGGCCCGTAGTCTTAATTGAATTGAATAGCTGGGGAAAGTCTAGCAATATTAATTGCAGTAAAACAGTAAATTAACGGTGCTCTGAAGATGCCTGTACTACTGAAGAGTATAGACTCAAACTGTGCCACGGCATGGAAATAATATCTTTTCATTGTGGTATTGTTTGTCATAAGCAAAGCAGTTTGCTTTACTATGCCACTTTGGCATTCTAAATTAGCCTATGTGACCAAATTCATTTCAATTTAGAGTCATACAGATTGAAATCACACGTAATGATCCCTTCTAGTAAAACATCATTATGATTGGTTTCATGCTACAGAGTCAGACATAGCAGAGCGATCTCAGTTACTGAAGAATAAGGACGATGCCATCAAGAACCTGGAGAAAGCCATTGAGGAGAAGTCAAAGGCTATTACCTCTATGCAGGGCGAGATTGCTTCTCTCCAGGTATGCAACTTAAAACACAACAGTTAGTCTTAAACATTCTTACAAATAACTGTGCACTTATGCTTATCCATGTACAGGCAAAAGGGTCTGTAGTTGCCGAGGAGCAGGCTAACAAGGCCAATGCCAAGGCTGTTGAGCTTGAGAAGCAGGTATAGATTATAAGAGTTCATGAACATTTGGAATGTGCTAGATGTGTTTACGATTTCTCATTCTATTTTTCTCCTGTTCTAGATTGACAAGCTCAAAAAGGATCTTGAAGCACAAAGTAGCCAGAAAGCAGCATTAGAATCTAGGGCCAACGATGCAGAGAAGAAGGTGGAAGAGCTGAATGAAAAGCTTAATACAGTAAGTGCATAATCCTTGTCTATGGAATAGTTGTGGTCAACTTCTTTTTAATTTCATGTGCTACTGTAAGTGTATATGCCATCTGCTTTTCCCTTTCTAGTTGGCTATATACAGGCCTGCAACACATTCTTATGACACTAGCAGATCATTAAATTAGATATCTATACTAGAGTCTGAAGTCCATTGAAATTTTAAATTCTATTGAAGTCATTTGGTGAAAGACCATTCAACCAAATGGTTACTTTAGATGTTGGATTGCATTGTTCTTATATTTTGTCCTTGCTAGATCCAAAAGGAAAGTGATGAGCAAAAACGCAAAATCAAGAAGACAGAACGTGCTCTTAAAGTCGCCGAGGTATGCAACAAGTTTGTTTATTATTAATGCACTGCTGTCCTGGTTGTTGTGGTATTGTTACATATTTGTTCTTTCACATCGTAGGAGGAATTGATGAGGTTGCAGTTAGAAGCAACTGCTAAGGCAAAACAGCTGACAGAGGTAAGGATATATTCTGTCGCTATCATCAGTTGTACTTAATGAATTTAGAAATTTTAGCAATGTAATAACATCATCTGAGCATACTAACAAACATATAATAAGACAAAAAGTTACTAAATTTATTGCAATGCAGGTTTGCTTTATACTCTCGGGTATGGATGGTGTTCAGAGTGCAAACATGTCTGTTTATATTCCACAAAATCATTTTACTAGGCAAAGCATGTTGAAATCCTCTACTACTACTACTACTGATCTATTCCATATTTCATTCTCTTTATTATTTACTATTTCTGTTTAAAAACAATCACAAAGTAGTGTAAGAACAAATAAGTTCAATCTGCATAAATTCTTGTGGTTCCCAAAAGTTATTTGTAGTAATCTATCAAGACATTTATTTCCTCCAGTTGGGTGGTTCGCTACCAGTTTTAGAGATAAGTTTCGATAAATCTTTTGTTCCACAATAGCTACATACCTTTTAAGATGCACTATTTGTTGCTTGGCACTTCACTAGTGTGTTTAAAGTTATAACGGTTACCTACTTACCTAGACTAGGCTAAGCAGAGTATACATATTGTAGTTCTACTGCCTTGAACAGCAAATGCTTGTCTTCGATGATGTCTTTTCTTGCTTGTTCCCATCTACAGCATATTTATGATTCATTCTCGTTTCCTTTTTCAGGTTCATGGAGCATGGCTGCCACCTTGGTTAGCGGCACAGTATGCTCACTATGTGGTAAGAGCGGAACCACAAATATTTATCAATGCAATTTTTGTTCTCATGGAATTTACATGCTCATGATCTCTCACCGCTGTATTTATCATCATTTGTAGGAGGTTGTATCAGGCCACTGGAATGAACATGGAAAACCTGCTGTGCATAATGTTCTGCATAAGGTGCCTCTTCATACTGCTTTTATTTTCAATTCAAAATGCATTGCACAAATAAAACTACCATTTATATGTCTGCGTATCTAATATTTCAGGCTTCAGAAAAATCAGCTCAGGCAAAGAAATGGGCTGAACCTCATATTGAGACTGCTAAGATGGTAATGCCCATCTGTTCATGTACTTAGTTTCTTTTGTTTTACCTTGCACTGACAGTTTGCTGACATTGTTACTTTCTATGATTGAAGAAATGGATTCCTGTCAAGGAAAAATTGGTTGTCCTGAAGAAAAATGCAGAACCTTATGTACAGAAGGTATCAACAAGATCAGTGGAGTTTTACGAGTCGTCAAGAGATGCTGTGACACCTCATGTTGTCAAAGTTAGAGAGTTCGCTCATCCCTACTACCAGGTAATTGCTGCATTTTCTGTTTCAAGAATATATACAGTTTCATCCACTACTTCAAGGGCAGCAACGTGTTGATTATAGTAATCCATATGCAGTTGCTGATATTCATTTATTTGATTATGTTGACCCAGGAAGTCAAGAAGTTTTCTAAGCCTTACATTGATCAAATTGCTGAGATCACTAAGCCACATGTTGAGAAAGTTAGAACTACTCTGAAGCCATACACTAAGAGAGCAGTTCATGCATATGGGTCATTTCTTGAGTCGGCAACCACATACCATCGACAGGTTTGTGGTTCTTTTTTAATTCCATTCCAGTTCCTGTTGCATGCCGTTTCAATATGTCCTATTCTGCCATGTGCTGTAGGTAGTAGCTGTAGCCTAAAGCCACACTTTGATCTGGTATCCAACTCGTGTGACGTGTGCATATCTGCTCCCCAGTCTTACCTCTTACCCTCTAGATGTAGCATGCCGAGCTGCTTATGGTTGCCATAGGACATGCCCTTATTTTAGCCTTCTTTCCTGAAGGGTGCTGTATAAATGTTTCTGCATAGGGTCTAGAAACGCTAGCCCTTCTCTTGATAGTTTGTGTTCTCTTCTATTTTTAGCTGCTTCATTAAGTTAATGAATTTAACTTTTGTTTTGATATACTTTTAGCTGGTTGTTATATATGTTTAGTTCTTTCTATCATGTGATATTTTTATTTTTTCTTTTAAAAAAACTGATGTGACAAAATTCTAACATGTTTCCTTTGTAGGCTCAAGCAAGCATCATGGACTACCTTCACCAGCATGACATAACAAAATCATTTGCAACGAAGGAGTTAGTTTGGTTCCTGGTAAGCACTCCACATTAATTCGGCAGGGAACCACAGCTTAGTGGTCATCTAACAAACATACTTATTTATGTACAGGCTTCTGCTTTGCTAGCTCTGCCTGTCTTCATTATATACAGGCTTCTAGTAGAGACCTTCTGGTTAGTTTCTCATAAATTAAATGCTGATTTCAATCCTAATAGCTATTAGCGTGACCTCAAGTAAACTGAAAATTATCTTCCGTTGCTTTTATGTAGCACCAAAAAGAATAAAAGGCCTCGTGGTGGTAACGGTAACCATGGCCACAAGAGACACAAGCGGCGACACGCTGACAAGTAGATCAATTTACTGAACACATTAGGGTTCAGTATGCTGTTTATTGTCGCAGATCTTTGAGCAGGATTGGATTGCTCTCCCTCTCCCTGAGGCTGTTCTGCTGAACCATGGAGGAAGGAGACTTGGGTCATAGGCACCCTTACCGTGAAAGCATTGTACACCACCAACATTTCTCTTCTTCTTTTACATTTTCACCCCAGGTGTGTGTAATATGGACTTCAGTGCAGCAGACCTTTTACCTGCACTTTGCTGGGGTTCAGGGGGTTATGCCTCGGCCTTTGTTTGATTGGTCATTGTTTATTGTAACTTGTGAATGCGTTTGAGTTGGTGTGCTTGTTTTTGTTGGGGACCTACATTCGAACTTATTTACTTATGTATACAGTGGTTGGTTGTTTAGCTAACTGGATGTCTCATGTTCACTTCATTGATGTATGCTTGGTCGACACCATGATCTGGTAGAAGAATGGTGGTTGACTCAGTTGCTGAAGTGTCATGAACAGGAAAAGTATATGTCTATAAATTGCTAGCCATCTGGTATGCTTGTGTGTTTGTACCAAAATCCAGAAACTGCACATCAGTTTGTCATGTAGGGTCCGAGTGCGGAACCTGACGATATTTGGCTCGTCTTCGCTCAAAAAAGAGAAGTTTGTCGATGAAATTTTGCTGAAGCTGTGAAAAATTTAGTCTGCACAAGTTTGGCTTAGGCATGTTCGAACCAGAACTTTTTCTCCGTGAACAGACCGGTCTGCTAAGTGGCCGCTTTGGCACTGATATGGCTTTAAACAAAACGTTATGAGCTATCTTTAGATCTCTATAATTTTCAAATCTATCTCCATATTAGGTCAAATGAAAAGGTTTAATTTTCAAAAGAAATCTATCTCCATATGAGGTCAAATGAAAAAGGAAAATGTTATGAAATAAAGATTACTATTTGCACAAGGAAAAAGAAAATGTTATGAAATATAAAGTTGTAGGTCTTGTCAAGCTTAGTAATTTTTATGTGTATTTATCTTCATCATTGTTTATATTGAAAAATTCTAATTTTCTAAGTGATCCATTAATCTTGGGATTTATCGGCTTAATCTTTCAAATATACTCCTAATGGTAGGGTATGCGCGCATTAATAGGGGTGTGAATATGTGTCAATATATATGAGCGTCTAGATTTGTCTAATTTACAGATAAAAAAAAGAATCCTGCCAATTGAAGTGACGTAATTTAAATCTCACCGTTTCGATTGGCCGTAAGATTATATTTTCTTTGCAATTTTTCGTTTGAGGCAATTAAATTCTGCAAAGGACGAGATATAATAAAAATCCTTTTCTGGGCTTTGTTCCGCGCGCGACGGCCCATCAGCTGCTTCCACTCCCGGCCGCCGGAGCACACCCAGACCCCATGTCCCCACCGCAACTCAACTCCTCCGCCGCCGGCCGCACCGTCTCGTCCGCCGCGCGCCACCAGCAGCCTGCGTCCTCCCACCTCCTCGCTCAGTCTGCGCCCTCTTTGCCGCAGCTTCATCTGCTCTGCCCCACTCAACCAAGGAGCTCGCGCACCGGCTGCCACTGCACGATCTGCGCTGGCGACCGTTTGACACCGCCGCCTCAGCAGCAGCAGCGTGCTACGTCACTTGGTACGCTCTCCTTCTGGTACTAAGCATCTTGCCCCCGTGGGAGATATCGATCTTAACATTTGCCTTATTTGTCGTTTTGATTTCCGCGTGCAGGCTGGGCGCTGAGGGTGCAGAAGCTGGAGTCGCCATCGATGGCGGCCGTGGAGTAGCACGCCAAAGTTGACGCCTTTCTTGCCGTCCTGCCAGCGCTTCCAGCTCGGTTTCCCCATGATCCTCCGGAGCGCACTAAGGGCCGGTCTCGTCCTCAGGCGGGTTCCCCTGGTTCAACTCATTGTGGAGCACGGTGAGCCGTACCGAGCACCACACCGGTTTGCTACTGATACCCGGGATGTTGAAGAATCATCAGCTGTGTTGAATTGGTGGGGGGTTACCCCAACTGGTCATGGGTATCAGTTGCGGGCTTACTCGGCTGCTCCTGCACGTGTTAGGGGTGAGAAACCCTTGGATTGTGCTGATGCAGTGGCAATGGTAGATGAGGAGATCAGGCGAATGAAGAAGATGCGGGTGTTCTGGACCGCTCAGCAGACTTTCATGGAGTACCTCCATGTCACACGGGGGCTGAGCTTTTCGGATGCCGAACATATAAGCAAGCACTCACCTGCCTTTGTGAGCAAGCTGCTGAACCAGGTGAAGGATGCTATCAAGGACCCTGTGGAGGGGGATGAGGCAGTGTTCAGGTCAAAGGTGAAGACAAGGGAGATGAGGGATGAGAGGGCCACTAATGCGTTGCAGCGTCTGTTCAGGTATTATCCGATCAATGAGTTTGAGCCATTCTTCGAGAGCATCGGCTTAAAGCCGAGTGAGTATGAATCCTTTCTGCCTCAGGATCTCATGTTTCTATCCGATGATGAGACATTGCTGGAAAACTACCATGTTCTTTGCAATTATGGGGTTATGCGCACTAAGATAGGGGGAATATACAGGGATGCTGGGGAGGTTTTCAGTTTTGGTGATGGTGTGCTTGCATCTAAGCTAAGAGCTATTGAGGATCTAGGGTTCAGTAAGACCACTGTGATAAAACTTGTAACCTGTTGTCCTGCTGTATTGACACGTGGCCCACTCGCTGATTTGAAGATCATAAAGTGGCTAGATGACATTGGCATTCAGAGAGACTGGATTGGTCAATTCTTATCTATAAAGAAGTCGTATAATTGGAGAAAGATGGTTGAAGTTCCTCAATTTTTTACTGAATTGGGATTCGACAAGGAGGGTATTGGTAAATTGATCAGGCAACACCCAGATTTCTTGTTGGATGGTTCTGGAAAGGTACTGTTTAGGGCAGTTGCCATCATGCTGAAAGCAGGGTCTGGAAAAGAAGATCTGTTTAATCTTTTCATGGACTTCCCAGATGTACAGGCCAGGAGTTTCGCAAGGAACATACAGAGTGTTATACTATTCTTAACTTGCATTGATGTAAGCGAGGAGGATATTAAGAAGTTTGTGGTAGCAAATGCATCAATGCTGGGTTCTGCTCGAGTGAAGAAGGCAAACAGCATTCTTACATATCTCAATGTGGGGAAGAAGCGTTTGTGGAAGATTATAATGGAAGAGCCACGTGAACTGATGAAATATGCATTAGGGTTAAAGGTCAACCGCCTACCGCCTTGTGACAGGACTGAGAAATCACTGAAGGAGAAGGTGATTTTTTTGAAAAACATAGGATTTGAGGAAGGCTCTGATGATATGAATAAGGCACTAAAAGCTTTCCGTGGTAAGGGTGATGAGCTACAAGATCGGTTTGACTTTTTGGTGAAGATTGGATTTGAGCCCAAGGATGTATCGAACATGATCAAAGTAGCGCCGCAGGTTCTGAATCAGAAGATACATGTCCTTGAGTCCAAGATATCTTTCCTTTTAAATGAGACATCATATCCTCTAAGCGCTCTGGTTGGATACCCCGCGTTCTTGTCGTTCACTATAGAGAGAACCAAAGCTAGGTTTCTAATGTACAATTGGCTGCAAGAAAGAGGGCTGGTTCCTCCTAATTTTGCTCTATCCACCTTATTAGCTTGTTCAGAGAAGCGGTTTTTTAACTATCTGGTCCTAAAACATGAAAAGGGTCCAGAAGTCTGGGAGAAGTTGAAGAAAGAGATAGCTGCTGACAAAAGCGTGCACTGTACTTCAGATGATTTAGCATGATGTTATTTGCTGAGTGATATTTTGAGGAAAGGCAATGGAGTGCTTTTGCACATTAATTAATGAAGAATGTACATGGATGGTAGTAACTGATATTTTAACTTAGTTCCATGAATGTTGTTTTTGTCTTGTTTTATCGCTGGTCTGACAGACCTCGGATCTGATTATGGCACATCCAACCTTTGTAAATGTCATCAAGCATCAACTATTCGCATATGAGCTAAATCCTTCATGCTAAAGTTTTTTTTCTTTGTTTTTTTATTTTTTTACCATACGTGTGCACCTGAATGTGAAGTTCTACTGTACAAAATCGATTAGCGAAGCTCACATGGCCATCAATAAGGCACCATATATAGACGCAAGTGTCTTGCTGATCCGAAACAATCAGCAATGTCTAGCCTGTGTGTCTATTGATTTGTTCTATCTCAACAAGAATTAGCCTGAGCAATGGCATGGAGCTTGACGTCAATAATCAGCCTGAACAGCTGAGGCAAGAATCTGATTATTCTTATCAAGTTTGTGCCACCTGGAAGTTAAGCGCATTAGCGATTTTGACACCAAGCAAGAGGGATGTGCTTCAGCCTCCGAAGGATCCAAGATTCATGGAGCAAGCAACCTGCAAAAAAGAAGCCGAACGCACACCATGCGTTGGAGTAGTTAGGATTAGGCGATTAGCACACCAATGCCAGTTTGGTTTTGAGCTTGAGAACCATCAACCATGCAAGCAAACAGAAGCATCACCAAAAAAAAAGGACCATCAACAACCTGTGCCACCAGAGAAGTATATTATGAACCTGGAGTCTGGAGAAGGGAGACGGTTAAGGCCTAAATGCACAGGATTAGCAAAGGAAGGAGTATCATATTCAACAGTTAAACTGTAAGATTCATCAGTGGCACAATCCTCATGAAGAAGAAAACTCTCACAACAGATAGCATTAAATCTTTGATCATTGCGTGTTTTCCGTAAGTACCAAAGAATTAAAAGGACCAAAACCTGCAGTGGCTTTTGATGGGCCGTACGTCCTGCAGAATAAAAGTAATATGAGAATGAAGCCCATGGTCCGAAGGAGTCTAAGTATCAACTTTCAGCCCAATGGTGGATCTAAACAGCATGGGCCTACCGAAGCTGCATTCACACCTGTCCAAGCACTCTTTTTTTTTGAATGGATCCAAAAGTGAATTCAGTATGTATCCCTAAAAGAAGTGCATATAAGAAAAAAAAAGTATTCTTTTTTTTGATAAAAAATGCAACATCATTTCTACTAATAAGCCAAATAGACTAAAATATTGCATTGAAATTTCCAAATAAATCTGAGTCTATTCTTTGCAACAAATTTCCAAATAAAATAGCTACATTATGTGTCAGTCATAAAACCAAATGCACCTTGAATTGTTCCGCGAATTAATATAGAAACCTGACAATCGAATAATAAATGGTGTATAGTTTTTTTTTCATGAAAGAAACAACAAATTTCGCAACTGTTCCAATGTTATTTATTAGATTGTCCTCACTAAAATCACACCTTTAGTTAAGAACCAACTAAATATATAATAATCTTACTTAGGAGGCACTTTAGTTTCCATGTAAGATTTCATTTGGAGGCATCATTATTTGATTCATAACATTTATGTACGTACATTGGTATTATAGTTAAAAGATCATGTTTGGTGAGACTGAACCAGTTTGGTGATTAAGTTGTAGAACCCGATTTCTACAACTAGCTCATTTCGTTTAATTAACTTATTATCCCATCAAATCCATAGAGAAAGATATATCGAGGGGGTCTAAGTGTCACACTACATATATGAGACACTGGCAGCATGTATAGTATAGTAATGCTATACAAGGATGGATATTGTTCTTCACTTCTTTGAGAGTAAAGTGACTTAACCACATCTCTCTCAAAAACATGTTAGTGAACCATTACAGAAGTTAAAGGTGGAAAGGACCAGAGACGTGAATCTGATCACAAATGTGAATCTTCGTTCTGACTTCCATCCAAGTACGACACTGACATAGTAAAACTTACGACAAATGCTAAGTTATTCGAGAGTAAAGTTACTCAACCACATCCCTCTCAAAAACTTAGCAGTAGTGAAATGTTGAAGAAGTTAAAAGGTGGAAAAGGTTCACAGACGACATAGATTTGATCAGAAATGTGAATCTTCTGACTGAGAGTACTTCTTCCTAAAGTTATTTGCTTAGCGGACCAGTATTTTCTACTTCTATAGATTTTTGTGTAAAAGGCCCAGACCCCGCCTGTCAATCCTTAGGAACCCAACTTGTTTAAAAGGTGTTTTTGGTGCTTGAAAGAAAGACATGGTATGGGTAGGTAGTGGCTACGTAACATAGTATATGTTAAAATTTATGAGGAGCACGAGAGCAAACTAACCTTTCCAGCTAGGAGCACTTAGCTTCTTTTGGAAACATCGCTAGAGGTTCAGAAATTTGGCTAAACCGATGAATCAGAAGAAGGGTGTGGGCGGGCAGTTGGCCACGCACGCACACAAAATGGCGAGCTTGGATTATGGCGAACGAACAGGGGAGCATTTGGATCAAGGCCACGGCCCACGGCTGGCCCTACCCTACCTGGTGCTGAGTGTTCATTTTTGTGGCCAATCTCAGCTCAGGCTTGCCGCCGATGTGTCCGTCCGTGCGTGCGTCCAATTTCGACGGAGCAGGATGTTTTGGCTTGGCTGCAGACAGCAGGAGAATCCATGGTTTGGTCGTTCCGATTTTGGGCGACTGGGGCTAAGATTGCTGCCAGCCAGACAGGCGCTCATCTTGCAATGCAACCGTCGTCTCTGACTCTGATCTGCTCTCTCAGCTCCAACTCGAACTCTCTCGTTGCTTTCTGTTGGCAGGCAGCAGGACAGACAGGACGATGCCGGCTGCTCTCAAGTCTCACCCTCATCGTCGTCATATGCCCAGCTTGGTTCCAGGCAGCGGTACCGGAATAGGAGTGTACCTCGGGGGCCCTGCCTCACGGCCTGAGGAAAGGAAATAGGAGATGGAGTGACATAGTCACTCACGCGCTGTGCTGGATTGCCCGTTAGTTTTTGGGTTCGGAAATGTTTAGGCTCTGGCGTCCGATCGCCCCCGTTGGTGGGGCATGACGCCAACCTGAACCAACCCAATATTTCACTGCGCTCGTTTAATTGATAATCATTCGTTTTCTGAAAAATACTAGGAATTGTTTGGCCAATCCACTCCAGAAACAAGACCAAACCATACTCTCCACTCGTCGAGTTCTCCTGGCGGCCGTGGCATGGTCCACGGCGACCCCTCTGACGCGGCGTTCTTCGCTGCGCCCGGCCGCCCGCCTACCTTCACCCTTCCTCCCCCACCACACTTGAGCGCCACCGCACGACTTCTTCCCTCTCCACCGTGCTCACCGACCGATGTGTGTGGTTTCCATTCTGCATCGCGCCCTCGCCCGCTTCCGTCCCTATCTAGTGGCAGCTCGCGCTAGGAGCGGCGACCAATCGGCCTCCCCCTCTCTCTCTCCATGGCGCCCGATCCACTGCCTCCCTCAGCGACGGTCTCCAGCAGTGATGCATACGAGATCGGGTAGGGAAGACTCCCCCAGCAAAGGCGACTCCCTGGCAGGGGCGCCTCGCCTAGCATCGGCTACGATGACGGAGGCCAGGATGCAGATATTCGGAATCAACCGTTCCCCCGCTCTGTGTTGCGTCGTAAGGAAGAAGAAGAAGGGTGAAAACCGCATGTTGCAAGAGTATGATTTAACTGTTTCAAATATTTTAGAGGTATGTTACAAGTGTTGATGTTACAAAAGTAGATCGGGATGTTGCACATGTTGTAATGGTTGTACATTATATTTCAAGTGTATGTTCTAAATTTTCATCTGTTCCAGACGTATGTTTCAAGTGTTTTATTTGAATGTTGCAAAAATAGATCTGGATGTTCCATATACATGCATGTTGCAAGCTTATGTTTCAAGTGTTTTTAAGTATTTCATCTGGATGTTCCATATGTTTGCAATGGTTTTCAAATACTTTTCAAACGTTTTCGCAAGTATTTCAGACGCTTGTTTCAAATGTTTCATCTATCTTCTTTTGTATGTTGCACCTATTACATCTAGATGTTTCAAGATAGATCGAGTGTTGCACGTGGGATTCGCGTGGAAAACGGCTGACGGCGCGGGCGACGTTCAGGGCGACGCGAGCCCACTAGCAGTGCGCTCCGTCACAGACCCGACGCGCTGAGCGCTCGCTTGCTCCGTCCGATCGAACATACAGGGCAATAAGTCCGGTTTGGTTTGGTTCCCCAAAAGGCCAAAGCCAAAAGCGAGCGGATAAGATTGGTGACTGGACACTGAATCTGAATCCTTCAATTAGCATTGCGTCCATCGTGCATGGCTGTGTGTGTCGGGTCGGGTCGTCCGGCCACGGCCGGCGCGTCGAGGTCGAGCAGCAGCAGCACCCCGTTCGTTCACCGTACGTCGAGCGCACCAACGCCGGCATGCATGGTAGCTGACTCCGATGTCCGATCCGGCGCCGCACTCCGTAGCTAGCTTGGGTTTGGGTGTGTCTCGTACCAATTCGTTAGCTAACGAGGCGAATCAAGCATAAACCTCAATTTCCTTTTCAGTCATATACTAGGATTGACTCAGACTCAGCCAGCCAGATCCCAAAGCGGATGCATGCAGCGTCCTCTCCCAGTCACAGGATGCACCATGTCATGCACAGCATGGCGATGGGGTCAGCCGGTCAGCTCGCAGCCACAGCCACTCGCATCGCACCTGATCTGGGCCGGGACAACAGGCGGGATCGCCACGCCACGTACGCATTTACTGGTAGTACGTACATACAGGGACCGGAGCCCCCCCCCCGCGATTGCGACGCGGTGGATGGAGTGGATGGAAAATGCAGCAGCAGCAGCACATGCCAATTCCGCCCCGCTGCCATTCGCTCGCCGCTACCATCCCGGCATCTCCCATCTCACTCTCCGACTCTCCTCTCCCCTGGGCGTTTCCGTCCTC